GGAAATCAAGGAGAAAAATCTAAACCAAGAGGGGAACAACCAAAAAAATTTGCACCACTCATTAAAAAATCCCGGCCAACCCTGGAGGAGTGCATCTGCAGGTAAGATTACAAAGAACCCATAGGAAGGAATTTGCCTGGAGGCCAAGCTAATAGCTATCCATCCCCAAGGAGACAGATTTCAGTGTTTGAGTTGCTATAACAAAAAACCATAAATTGGATGGCTTACAAACAAGGGAAAGTTCTGTCCTAGTTTTAGAGGCTGGGAAGTCCAAGATCAAGGCACCAGCAGATTCAGTGTCTGGTGAGGGCCTGTTTTCTGATTCTCAGGTGGCCACCTTCTTGCTTTGCTATCACGAACCCAAGTCCTCATTTTCTAATATTATCACTTCGAGGGGCAACATTTCTTTTATTTATTTACTTACTTATTTTTAGCAAGCAAGAAGTAGGTTTATTGAAAAGAGACAGAGATGCAGAGACAGACTTCTCTGAAGAGAAGGGTCCCCAGAAGTAGGAATCCAGTGGGGGAATTCTGGCCTGTTCTTTTTGTGGTCTCTGGAATTTCCTCCCTTCCTTATCTCTTCCCCTGTCCATGCACTGCTCACTCTTAAGGATGGGTGCCCCCTGTGTCCACATGTCTGTTTTTTCTATTAGATCCCCTGCTCAGGAGCATGACTATGGAAGTGTCTGTCTGATTGAGTCCCCCACTTGTGTGAGGGGCAAGATTTCAACATGAGATTTAGAGGGACATAAACATTCAGATCATGGCCCCATCAAATAAGGCAGTCATAGTCAGTATCTCAAGCTTCCACAGACTCCCTTTGATAAAGGATAAAACTAAGCTTTCACAAGTTTAAGATAATCAGGCAGAAATGTGTCTGCATGCCAAAACAAAATTTAATACTTCATAGGAAAACAATGATCCAGGATCTAGAAGGATCATGCTTACAGTCCAATATACTAGCCTTATCAAACATTGGTGAGGATGTGAGGCAACTGAAATGCTCATACAAGACTGATGGAAATGTTTAAAAAAAAAAAAAATAAGGTGCAATTACTTTAGGAAAGTAGCAAGTTCCCAAAGTGAATGTAGGTGGAAAAGCCTTTACCTTAAGGCACATTAATCTTTTTCTAGGTGCTAAATGTACATATCACACACACAATTTTAAAATATTGATGTGATTTTAAAATGCTTATAAGCATAAAAAAAGAAAAAATAATCCACAAAAACATATTATCTACAAATAACCACCGTTGAATGTCTGATATAGAATTTGTATACCAGAAATGGTGAAGTTTGGATTCATCTAACATTTCCACAGATAAGCAAATATAAAAAAAATATGTATATTCAGTGAAGAACAAACAAAAGAAATCAAAGGATGGAGGGATGAAAATTCTTAAAGAACTGCCCCATGCTGAATGACAAAATTATATATATAATTTTCCCATCTCAGGAAATGACACCATCATTCACCCACCTGAAAAAATAAAACTTTTAAGCTTCATTGTTGATTCCTCTCTCTCCCTTACCCACCATTAGCAAATCCTGTTGACTCTACTGTCAAAACTACATCCTGATTCTAGCCACTTCCCATCAACCCCATAGTGACAACCCGATGACATCTCCCCAGAAAAGTACTACAGTGGCTTCTGTGGTTGACAGTGTCAACAGTTTTTCAACGGGGGGAAAAGAATGGCACAAAAGAAAATCAAAGTGGCCAGGCATGGTGGCTTATGGGTGTGGTCCCAGCAACTAGGAAGGCTTAAGTAGGAGGGTCACTTAAACCCAGGAGTCCAGACCAAGCTGGGCAATAGAGTGAGACCCTGTCTTAGGAAGAAAGGGAGCGAGAGAAGATGGAGGGAAGGATGGAAGGATGGAAGGATGGATAGGAAAGAAGGATGAAAGAGGGAGGGAGGGAACTCAGAATGCTCAGCAAGAAGAGTCAGAATCAGTGATAGGTAGACAATAAATACCTTCTGAGCTGGTTTTCACCTTTTTGTTTTTCATTTTACTAATTTATATAACATTGAAATTTTTACATCAGAACATCCAATGTTCCTATAATATGCTATATTACATACTTTTTACACATAGTTGTTTGAATAATAAAAATGGAATGAGAATAAAAATGTATATATAAAATCTTTTTAAAGTAAGTAGATGAGCTGGGTACAGTGGCCCATGCCTATAATCCCAGCAGCTCAGGAGGCTGAGGCAGGAGTATTGCAAGTTCAAAGCTAGCCTCAGCAACTTAGTGAGGGCCTAGGCAACTCAGTGAGACCCTGTCTCCAAGTAAAATATTTAAAAAAGGCTGGGGATGTGGCTCAGTGGTTAAGTGCCACTGGGTTCAGTCCTTGGCACCAAATAAATAAAATAAAGTAATTTAATTATAAGGAAAAACAGTGGTGAATATTTTTTATCATGTTGTGATATAAAAGTGCTTTCTAAACAAGAAGGTATGCCTAGAAATTCTCAAATGAATATGAATTATAATAGTAAAAATAACTGTAGCAGGTACTAAAGTATGTGAAAAATCATTAATGATCAGATAAAGAACACAAGAGAAAAACAAGTTATAGAAGAACAAAGAGCTTATCCTTTAAAGATATCCAAACTTCCTTTTCTGAGGAAGTAAGCAAGGGGAAATTGGGATAAAAGATAAATTTTATCTTCTGTAGTATGAGACTGATAAAATTAGAATGATTTAAATTATTAGTATTAGCATGTAGGGAAATTTACATTTATATAGATGATTAGAAGTAACATAAACTGGGACTTAGGGAAATTTGACAACATCTATTAAAATATAAAGCTCATATACATTTTTTATAACAACTCCACAGTCCTACATAAATATTTTCACATGAGCCCAAAGATATCCATTATTGTGTATGTGTGTGTGTATGTGTGTGTGAGAGACTGATCTCTCTACAATCATTACAAATAATGATTTTTATAAACTGACATAGAAAGGTATATAAAATATATCATAATGTAGAAAAAGTTGCAACAGAGTATATTCTACTTTTGTTGTTAACATATATTCAGTCATATTAGTATAAGCATAAAAAAATTGGTAAGAATATATAAGGGACTCCCAATCATGGTCTCCCCTCTTAGTGGTGACTTTAGACATTTTCGAGAGCATTAAACTTCCAAACACCAGAAACAGCAGCACTAAAGAACAGGATTCTCTAGGTACTGAGTCAAATGGAGCTAATGTATATTCTGAAATGCAGTGTATCAAACTTTTTAAATAGAGTCTCTCTGGTATGAAGAAGTTAGCAGTTGATGACATGAATATCTCAGCAAAATAATTTTTAGCCATGCAGAGTAAGAGGGATCTATTTTCAGAATGCTGGGGAGAAAGTTTATCTGCCCTTTTGCCTTCCCAACTCCTCCCCCAGGTTCCACATTCTTACCCCAATGACCATCAATATCCAGAACGTCCTAGTCAGCTTGTCTATTCCTGCCCTGCATGTAAAGTGGGAGTAGAACAAATAGCCTTCTTGTCTACCACCTTCTCTTTTAATAAAAAGATATCTAGAATTATATCTTCACTGGCTTTGGTTTATACTGCAAATAGAGAAAGTGGAACCTCCACTGAATCACGTAACACTGAAGTTAAAGTGTCCTAATCATCCTTGGCTCTAAAACAAGAGAACAGCCACTGGAAAAGAGGCCGCTCACTGGGAGAAGGTATTGCACATTCCAGAAATAACCAGAAAATTCGAATGGCAGGAAAAGCAAGTACTCTTATCTGGAGTATTCACTTGCAGCCATTCTAGAAATATCTATGGATAATTATACCCTGTACAATAGTGCCATTTTTCCAAAAATTGCTGAGAAACAAACTATCACATGTACATATACTTGTATACATTGATACATATATCTGTAAATATGTATGTTAAAACTATCAATCGCATCCCCCCAAAACTTACCTGCTTGGTTTTCAAAAGTCACAAAAACTAGGATTGGAGTTGCAGCTTCATGGTAGAGGACTTGCCTCCCATGTGCAAGGCCCTGAGTTGGATTCCCTGAACCACATTAAAAATAAAAAATAAAAAAGCACGAAAACTGTACTAGTATGGAGGGACGGGGGAGACAGAGGAAAAAGGAAGATAAATCCCAGGTGAATGATTTTTTTTCTACTTCCCTGTTTCAAATCAGTTAAAGAAATGACACACTTCCAGGCTGTGGTATTTTCTTGTCCTAATAAAAATAAAGAAATGGTATATTCACACTATTAAGGCAACTACTCCTCAAAAAATTCCCATCCGTTAAGTGGTACGATTCCATTTTTGCAGACAAGGTACATTCAGGTAAACCGAGGCACAGATACCCAGATTTCATTGTCCCTCCCACCCACCAACATTTTCTTGAAACATTAATTTCAAGTGAATGAAATGCAATAAATAAATAAATAAACAAATAAATAAACAAACAAATAAATCCCTTCCAGAAACGCTCTATGAATTCTAGGCCATAAAGCAGCAATTCAGAAACGTGGCACAAAAATGTGCCCGTGCGAAAGCCACTCGCGATGCACAACGCACACTGCAAACGTTGGGATTACAACAACCTAAGCTGGAGCAGCAAATTGAATTCGGTCCCAGAGCCTCAACACGTATGCCTATGTACGACACAGAGAGGGAAGAAGCCTTTGTTATTACACACGCTCCAAAAGAACGCCAGTGGCCGGGAGCAACTTCGGTCTACTCTGGAAATCATGGAGGGGGCTCCCTTCTCCATCGGGGTCGCGCGCGGGCCGCGGGGGCCCAAGGCGCATGCGTGTCCCCAAAGGCCCGGGCGCTTACCTGATGCGCCTGGAGCGCAGGCACAGGGCAAGGAGTAACAGAGCTACCGCCACCGCCAGGCCCTGGAGGCTGAGCGGTTCCACGGAGAAGTAGCCCATTCTGGAGGACAAGTCTTTCGCCTTCCAGTGCGCGCGGGGCCGCGATGGGCAGCCGGGGGGACCAGCGCGGGCGGCGACTCTGCACACTGCGACCGCTTTTCTGAGCGGCGCCCCCAGGTCCGGGAGGGAGAAGCTGGCCTGCCCGCGGCGCCTACAGGAATGTCACCGCGGGTCTCGGAGGCTGAATTACAAAGTTAGTGGACTCCCCTCCCCCCGCCCACCCCTCAACCACGTGCACCGCCCCTCTGTGTCACCCCCTCCCGCCCGGCCTCTTCTGGAAAACTGCGTCTCTGCTCCTTGGGGCAGGAAGAAGGGCCAACGGGGGCGGGGGGGGGGGGGTAAGGAATTAGGAAGGCCTGGAGGAGGGGGATTTCTCCTCTGAGTTGGAAGTCGCACCCAGCGGGAGGAGCGATTGTCCCTGCTCCTGTGAGGGTTGGAAAATTGGCCTCTGCGCTTTGACGCAGGCGAAGTCTTCAGAGACCCCCTGGGAGCTGGGCCAGCCGCTGGTACCTGCTAAGTGCCCCAGGTGGTTTCATGTTCACCTCCTTCTAACACCCTCTTTGCTCACACGTTTTTGTTGAGAGCCTACTGTATCCAAAGGCCCCTAGAGCCAGCTTGTAAGAGGAGTGATGGTGAACAGCACAGCTGAGAGCCATAAGCCCCACAGGTTGTACTAACAAAGAATAAGGAGGAAACTTGGAAAATATCTATTCCTGAGTAATGATCATCCACCAGATATTTTACACACATAAACTTTCCTTCACAAATTGTGATACAAGTTTTTAAAGTAGTATTTTGTAGAAAATACAGTGAAGCTCAGTCTGTCTGTATCCTGGTTTCAGTAGATAAATTCTTACCCTTCTAAACTTGTCTTTTTTTTTTTTTTTTCTGGGAATTGAACCCATGGGTGCTTACCAATGAGCCATATCTCTAATCCTTTTGGGGATTTTATTTAGACCCAGGGTTTCACCAAGTTGCTTAAGGCCTTGCTAAGTTGCTGAGTCCAGCTTTGAACTTGCGATTCTCCTGCCTCAACCTCCCAAGCTGCTAGGATTACAGGAGTAGGCCGTGGCCCCAGACCCCCTTGGTCTATTTTTAAATATCTGTGACCTTTGCATCATGCAAGACTTTATCTCCATTCTTCTCAGAATTAACACACAATAGCTTGAAAACTCATCTCCTGTGATCTTGGACTTCCCTAATCTGACATCCCCTAAAACGCTGACTGGCTTTTACTTTACCCAGAACTCTTTTTGATAAAGTCATAAATCTTCCACCCGTGATGAGATGCTGCCACAATTTGTCTCCATGGTACAACTACCCTGGCTAGTACAATAGGATACACACTAAAGCTGGAGCTGTTGTGTTGCTCACTGTCAACCCATTCACACTTTTGTTTAGAATGTTCCCTCTGCCTGAAAAATGGTCGTGTCTCCTAAATACTAAACTTCTACCTACCTCTCAAGGCCAAGTTCAAATCCCACTTGCTTCTAGAAATTGTCCCCAACTCATTTTTGTAATTCATCTTTTCTGCCCATACTTCTGACACTCTGTTGTTACCTTTCTTTCCATCATGTGTTTCTACTACACCTACGTTATTTCTAAGTCTGTTTTTCCTGAGATAGAACTCAAGAACCATCTTAGCTGATATAATTATGTCCCAAATATTTCATCCAATATTATTTGTAGTACATTTGAAATTCAAGCTTATCTCCAGGTCCTTATATTTGCTAAATCCAAATCTGGCAGACCTACGTTAATTCCAACACAAGGGTTCATAAGGCACCCGGGTATAGCAACTGCAAAATTCTAGCTGGCCACCAGTTCTCTTAAGTAATCAGCCACTGTTCTTTCGACATTGGTTGGTTGCTAATGTTCATGTACTTTCAACACACTAATCAGATCAACAATCAAATCTAAAGGAATCATCATGGGCTGGCCCTTAAGACTTTGAGATGTTTGTATAAGAAATGTCTTCAATACCAGAGGATAACTGGCCTAATCTTATCATTTCTCCTCAGTAAGTATTGATTGTGAAACACACTGAGAAAGAAAATAGAAACAAAAGCAGACGTAAAAGCAGAGGGAATAAAGGGAGAAGATGATGCATAAGAGTCTCTCAGGTAATAGCCATGAGTGTCAGGATGGTGGGTCTGTACTGCAGAGCCTCACCCCAGCAGTCCAGGTGACCCCCATTTACCAGGTGATTGACATGGTGTTATGGTTTGGATGTGATTGTTCCCCATGCATTTTTGTGTTGGAGGCTTGGTCTTCAGTGTGGTGGTGGAACCTTTGAGAGGTGGAGCCTAATGGGTCAGGAACAGAATTGATGAGGTCATTGTAGGCACTGTCCTTAGTTCTCAGGGGACCCTGGTTCTTTTAAAAGTGACTCGTTATAAAAGAGCAAGCCTCACCCTCCCTGAATTCATCTCTGGCTTCCTATCTTTCCATGTGATTTTTTTTTTCCTTCTCTCATGTGTTCCTGCCATAATGCCATCTACTATGACATGGTGTAGCCAAGGGGAGTCTCACTAGAGGCTGAATCAGTGGGACCTCATGTTGGAATCTCTATAGCTGTGAGCTACACAAATCTCTTTTCTTGATAAAGTATGTAAAATATCTAATCTGAGGTATTTTGTTGTAGAAACAAAAAATGAACTAATGTCAATAGCTTCTTTCTTTGTTTTCTTTTGTCATCTTCCTCCCCCCACCTAGTGGTAGAGATTGAACAGATTGAACATAAGGCCTCTTAGGCAAGTGCTCTACCACAGAGCCACACTCCATCCCCCTTTGTTCTCTTTTTAATATAGCATTTAGGCTTGAGCTCTAGCCTTACTTCTCTCTAGGTCTTCTTTTTTGATTCTCAAGAGACTGTTTGAGCCAAATGTGGTGGTGCACACCTGTAATGCCAGTGACTCAGGAGGCTGAGGCAGGAGGACTGCAAATTCAAGACCATCCTCAGCAACTTACAAAGGCCCTAGACAATTTATGAAGACTCCATCTCAAAATAAAAAATAAAAATGCCTGTGGAGGTGGCTAGCTCAGTGGTTAAGCACTCTTGGGTTCAATTTTTAGTACAAAAAAAAAAAAAAAGAAGAAGAAGAAGAAGAGGAGGAGAGAGAGAGAGATTGTTTGAAATTTTACCCTACATTTCAACCTGGTCATCCTAATTCTCCTGCTCAGACTCTGAAAACACTATTACACTGAACTGAAACCTCCTAGTTCACCTACTTAATCAACAACTTTTGTTAAATGCAAACTGTATCTATGGCGCTGCGCTTGGTCTGTTGGACCTGTACAAATGAACACAGTAATGCTTCCTTCAAAAAGCTAAGATGCAGAGGATTAAGGGATTAATTGGGATAAAGTAAGAAAAGAAACTAGTTGGCATGAGATTGTGAAGTGATGGTGGGGGAATTTAAGAACAAGCACCCATATGGCTTCAATCTTGTGAGTTCCTGTGAAGCAAATGATGTGCAAGGAAAAGGGGCTTCAGTTGTTGGAAAACATTAGAAAGTATCACTGTGGGGAATGCCAAAGTGGAATTCCACATATTTCTTTCCCAATATCCCTAAATCAGGGTTGAGTGCTGAAGCCTGAAAGGGCCTGTCATCTTTGACATAAAATATAGACTGAGTTTTGAATCATATCAGAGCATAATACTTTATAACTAAAAGCAATGACTGCTCTTCTCCTCCCCTGCCCATAAGTTCTATCATAACCAGCTCTGATTTTCTAATCCCTTCTGTTAAAATGAAGACCTCCACTACAAGTAGAAAAAAAAAAAAAAGAAGTGGAAGAAGGAAAAGAAGATGAGCTGCATGTTTTATATACCTTGTTTTTTTCTAATACTCAAAATAATCTTTGATATAGATATTGTACGAATTGACTATCCCTTATCTAAAATGCTTGGGACCAGTCATGTTTTAGATTTCAGATTTTTCAGATTTTATAATATTTGCATATACATAATGAGATTAATTAGGGAATGAGACCCAAGACTAAACACCAAATCCATTTAGGTTTCATATACATCTTACACACATAGCCTAACGTAACTTTGTGCAATGTTATTAGTATGCCTGTGTTTTGACTGTGACTTGTCACATGAGATCAGGGGTAGAATTTTCCACTTAAGGCATCATGTCAGAGTCCACATTTTTTTTTTTTTTGATTGTGCTGGGAATTGAATCCAGAGTCTTGTGCATGCGAGGCAAGCATTCTACCAACTGAGCTATGTCCCCAGCCCAATATTTTTGATTTTCACATTAGGGATACTCAACCTATATTTTCTTTCACATTAAAACAAGACTCAAAGAGCAGTTACTCAGCTGCTATTTCTGACATGAAGTGGCCCCTCCTTCATTGTACCATTTTGCTCTCTGTAGAGCTTTCTTTCACTAACCCTGTACTATACCTTTTCAGTCATTCTTTAGTTTTTATGGATCCAGCTTTTACTTTGAGTTGTCCATCACTGATGTACCCCGTGGGGAGAATTGAGCTTCTCTTTTGTAGGTTGGCCTTCTTTGGCCCTTGGGTGCCTCTGAGGATAGTTTTTCCATCCGAAAGAAATGGTAGGAGGGGCTGAGGCTGTAGCTCAGTGGTAAAGTGCTTGCCTCAGATGTGTGAGGCACTGGGTTCAATCCTCAGCACCACATAAACATCTAAAACTAAATAAATATTTGAAAAAAAATAATGATATAAAATTGCCTTCCTTATAGGTTTATAAGACTTAAATTGTGAAGAGTAGATATATAACAATGGAAATGACTGAAGCTTCTCCCTTTTTGTCAGTTCAGCAACTTCTGCTTCATTGGCATGGGGCATAAGTAGAAATGAGTTCAGAAGACAAATTCAACCTACTGAGGTGTTAGCTTATTGATGTATTACTTCTGCCCATTGTAAAATGTGTCATTTTTTTCTTTCCTGAATGCTGGTATTCAGAGTCTGATTTCAGCTGAGATAGCAATAATCATATATCCTGAGATTGATACAAGCCTGAAAGTTATTGTATAATTTGGCACACAGTAAATGGTGAGGCATTGTAGATGTAAGCACCAAATATGGCTAAAATATAACAGAACACAATGTTACTGATTAATATTTAAACTGTTGTACCTGTTTTCTCTTCATTTTCTTTTCGTCTATGAAACGACTTTGCAGTATTAATCTAACAGTCTAGTGCAGGATACACATAGACATGGTAGGCAAAGATTTTATTAAGTAAAATCCTGTTGAATGAGCAAAGTGACCCAACAATAGAGAGTGTAGTTCCATTTAAATCTTTTTTTATATATATATAAAGTACGATTTTAGGTAAGACCTGAATATAATTATTTTGAAGCAGCTTTAAAATTGGTGGAACAGATGGCTCTGATTATCTCCAAAAGGAAGGGAAGGATTGGAGAGTTTTGTCATTTCTTGTTTAACAGTTTTGGCATTGCTTATACACACTTAACGTTTTGAATACTCTGGTTTATAAATTCTCAATCTCGTGCTAAACCTTATTTCATTCTCACATTCTCATCTGACCCTACTTCCCATGCCAACTCTCAAGACTCAGTCTCTTTGTCTGTGACTCATACTGGCTCTTTCAACATTTCATTTCCCGATTATCCCTGAACCCAGATTTCCCAGGACAGAAAGTACAAGGTTGTCCCAGAATTTCTTTTAACGAGAACCATTCCTTCCGCCCCCAGTCCCTAGCCAGTCCTGTTCACTAAGGGAACATTTTATAAACTCAAAAGCATTTTCTTTTGAATTGGACCAGGCTGGTTCTCTGAGGACCTAAGCAATGTAGAGAGAAAGATTCTCTAAAGATGAATAAGGTTATTTGGGAATAGCAGAGTTTTGCCAGGGAAGTGTGGATACTGTAGCAACTATGAGCATGATCATAGGTTGAATCAAGGGGGAGAGGATTACATAAGCTATTTGGAGTGATAGCATCTGATTATAGGGATCAATAACAGAGAAGGCATCCATCCCAGATCAAACAGACAATTATTGGGGAGAAGTCTGCAGAAGTTGTTTCTATGTAGGATTGCAGGGGCCTTTGTGTAAGGTTGTGGTTCTGGCAGAGTCTTGTGAATAGTTAACTGTTATCAGTCAATCATGCATGAGATCCCCTTCTTTACAATTTCCTGGCTTTTTTTACTTTTTAAAATTATATTTTGGCAAAAAGCCCCATTTTAATTCTGATAATATTCACAGATAACTATCCAAAGAATCTTCAATATTTTGTTTCCCAGTCTTCTTGGGCCAGGATAGATATCTTATGCTTCCCCCTGGCAAAGTTCAGTCTCTTTGGTTCTCCACTGTCTCCAGAATTTTCTTCATACCTCCCGCCTTTGAAATGCAAAGCAGTTCAACTCATATCTCATTTAAGCAAGCAATTGGGGTGCCCCATGCCAAGTAACTATCAAAAATTTCATCTAAATAATGAGCATGCAATATTTTCAAAATATAATAACCATTGTCAACAGAACAACAATTTAAAATGTTTTTTAAAAGGGACAGGAATCATTTTCTTTTTCAGGAATTAAGTAGATGTTAAGGAAATGAGGGGAGAGTGATGTCCTCTCCAACCATCCTCACAGAACCCCTGACTATAGTGACAATCAGAGCATATATGAATGGACAGATATCAGCATGTTTCCCTTCTATATCGATAGTTTTATTTCTAGACATGCTATGCCTTTTCTTCACCTGTCTCTTCCTTGTTTATGGACTAGCTTTTCATTCTAGAAGGCAGAAGAGCTAATTTAGGCTTTTCAGAATTTCTTCTTCCTGCCTTTGGGTGTTTGAGGACCTCAAATTTTTTTATCCTTTCCCTTGTCTCTTTGTTTTTGTTTCTCCTTTACCAGTTCTGAACCATCTTGAAATCTCTTCCTCATCTAGATCCTTACTGTCAGTCTCAGCAAGGATCTCAGCATGGCCTCTAGCACTTACATACCCCACACCCTTGCAGCAAAGTCAAACATAATGTTTTAAGGATCTTCTGAGAGCTGGGAATGTGGCTCAGGCGGTAGCGCGCTCTTCTGGCATGCGTGCAGCCCGGGTTCGATCCTCAGCACCACATACAAGCAAAGATGTTGTGTCTGCCAAGAACTAAAAAATAAAATATTAAAAATTCTCACTCTCTCTTTAAAAAAAAAAAGGATCTTCTGAAACTCACACAGATATTAGAGTTTATAGTAGAATTCTACCCTCTACTTTTTTCTGTATCTTTGAATCAATTTTTTTATATGTACGCGTATGTGCGCTGGGGATTGGATCCAGGGTTCAAGCACTCTACCACTGAGCCACATCCCCAACCTACCCTTTGACCCAGCTATCCCACTCCTCAGCTTATACCCAAAAGACTTAAAATCAGCATACTACAAGGACATAGCCATATCAATGTTGATAGCAGCACAATTCACAATAGCTAAACCGTGAACCAACCCAGATGCCCCTCAGTAGATGAATGGATAGGGAAACTGTGGTATATATACACAATAGAACATTACTCAGCATTAAAAGAGAATAAAATCATGACGTTTGCAGGTAAATGGATGGAATTAGAGAATAAATATAATGCTAAGTGTATTACTCTAATCCCAAAAAACCAAGGCTGAATGTTTTCTTTGATATGAGATGCTGACTCATAATGGCGATGATGGGGAGCATGGGAGGAATGGAGGAACTTTAGATAGGGCAAAGGGGAGAGAGGGAAAGGAGGGGGCAAGGGGGTACGAATCATGGGAAGGAAAAGGAGGGGGAAAAGGGGAAGGAATGATGGTGGAATGAGTTAGGCATCATTACCCTAAGAACATGTATGAAGACACAAATGGTGTGAAAATACTTTGTGTATAATCAGTGACTTGAAAAATTGTGCTCTATATGTATAATATGAAATGAATTGTATTCTGCCATCGTGTATAACAAAACTAATAAATAAATAATAAAAAAGTATGAAAAAAATGTACTTATTTTGACTTTGATGAAGCATTTTCTCATTTGACCATTTAATAATCCAGTGAGCTGAATATTATTGTCAATTTATTCATATACCCTGTAGCCTCCCTAACAACAGGCACCATGTGTGTCTATCTGTTTAGAATTAGGGTTCATTGTAATGAATCAAGTATCTTTTCACCAGAATACCACCTTCTGTAAGTAGAGACTGCCTGTCAAGTTCACTACTGTATCCTTACACAGGGAATTCACTGTATTTGGCACTTTCATATGTACTGTGTACACAGATCAATCAATCAATACTAAATAAAATAAACAGACAAGTAAATGAACCATTCACTATTTATTAATCACTTATTACATGCCAGTTACTATTCCATGCTTTTGGGGGCATTTTTTTATATAAACCTCACAACAACCCTGGTGTGTAGATAATTTTATAATCTCCATTTCAGTATGAAAAAGCAGGCACACAAAGATTAATAACTTGCAGTTGTATAATCTACATCTCTAATACCATGGCCATCTTGTTCATAAACGTATTGATCAAGGACTGGAATAACTGAGGAAAGAAACTAATCATTAAGATCTTATTCTTTGGGTAGCATTCACATGTGACAAAAAAAAATGTTGACATTTTGAGAAATCTATCTACATATCCCTTCCCTAGTCCTCCTTGTCAACAATTCTCCAATCATTTTTCTTCTACATACATAACCATACAACTTAACTGTTAACCATTACCCATCAATTCCTGTAGTTACATACATCTGGCCGTCGTTCTTTCCAGGCAGAGAAAATCATCGGGTATATTGCCTGAAGTTCTGTCTACTG